ATAATATTATCATATCAGATAGAAAACCGCATCAGAAATAAGTCTACTAGGGGTGACCGGAGCAAAATGAATTTGTGTAACAAAAGTAACTATAGGCAACGTTTTTATCACTAGTTGGGGAATTTGAAAATAGACGCCTGAGGTGTAAACATGTCCAACAGTGCTGGGTTCATAAAACTAATTACCCTTCAGAATCACGCTTGGCTCTGGCTCGGACCTCCCTGCCCTCCGTAACACCGATGTGGTCGGGACCATACTAGGGCATCGGATTGGTATTGTCCATTAGAACATAACTTCTCCCGATGTTCTTCTTTTGCCGGATTCTCAGTCGCTTGTCATCACACATTGGTTTTGTCTCTCGCACTAATGCGACCATCACGTCACCTCTGCCTAATCAGATTTTTTCCTTCGCTTTCCTTCCTACGCATACAAACATTCCGACTGTAGTTATTTCAGTCTCTTCGTGTCCTGTGTGCTATTTGTCGCCGTCCGTCTGTACCTCAGTCGACACTCACCTCATTCCACTTGCACTCTTGTGCCTGCCGCCATTTTCGTCTGTCTCACTCTCTTATTCATACTTGCCATTATCCCGGTGTTGTCACACTCTCCTTCTACATCTACGGGCCCAGTTCTGCCTCCCTGATAGCTGTTAGAACTGCATCTAGCCCCGCGTAACTATCATCATCTATGACAAAAGTCTATGCCACAAAAACAAACTATCATCATCATCACTTAGCGCTACAACCCTGTGTGGGTCTTGGCTGACTGTTTTTTCCAATTTGTTCGGTCTTCCATCAACCTAGGGTCAAATGGAATGTTCATTTTCCGGAGATCTGCTGGGATGGTATCTCTCCATCGCATTCTGGGACGCCCGAAGTGGTCTTTTGCCTGTGGGAATCTCTCCCATACCAGTTTTACAAGTCTCTCGTTATGCAGTCTGTGCACGTGGCTTGCCCATCTTAGTCGCTGTAATTTAATTTCTTGGACAATATCGGCGTCATTGTAAAGTGCTTTTAATTCGATATTGGTTCTGATCTTATACTGGTTTGTGGTGATGTCATGGTGAGGTCCAAAAAGTATTTTTTGTTTAAAGCGTCTCAGCTTTTCTTCGTTTGCTTTGGTCATGGTCCACGTTTCGCATCTATATGTTATTACAGGTCTGACGATGAATTTATCGATTTTGATTTTTGAACTTCTTGTAAGATTTTTTGATTTTATGAGCTTATCCAGTGCAAATAGACAACTGTTTGCAGATTAAATTCTGTCTTTTATTTCTTTATTAACATCGTTGTCAGCTGTGATTACGGCCCCCAGATACTTAAAACGTTGTACTCTTTCGAAATTGAAGGTGTGGACCGTCACATTTTGTCCTATTCTGTCTCTTCGTGTCGTTCTATTTATACACCTATATTTCGTCTTGTCTTCATTAATCTTCAGCCCTACTTCACTTTTTGCCCCTTTCACCTTGTTGAAGATGTCGTTCGTGGATAGGATGGAGTCTCCAACGAGATCTATGTCATCTGCATTATGCGACTAACAGCTTGGGACCTTGAACCGATAGCAATTCTGTTTTTATTTCGGCCAACCTCATGGCTTTCTCTAATACAAGGTTAAAAAGTAGTAGAGATAACGCATCATCCTGTTTGAATTCACTGTTAATTTCAAAGCTGCCAGAAAGTTTATTATTCACACCTACTTTATACATTCCACCCTCCATCAGACTTTGGTCATCCGAATGAGTTTCTTTGGTGTTGAGAACTCCGCCATGGCATTCCATACTTGGCTTCTTTCGACGCTATTATATGCCTGTCGAAAGTCTATGAAAATAATATTGTGTATGGGTCTGTTATACTCCCATGCCTTTTCTAGAAGTTGTCTCAGCGTGAATAGTTTATCTATTGTTGATCTGTTTGGCCTAAAACAGGCATAACTGCTTTCACTAAGAGGACAACTTTTTAAAACTCTAGGACATTACCAACTTTTAAAACTTCAGGACATTAGGTTTAAGAGAAACAATAGCGTAAACGTTAAAAAGAAGTCCAATACTCTTCTCTTTGTTCCTTAGTTCTTTCTTAACCCAAGAAGAACCTATGTATTAACGTTAGACTCTATTAATTTTATTTTTCTTCAAGTAGGAGAAAAAGAAAAGTTATAGTATATGAAAAAAGAAAACTTATTGACCTTAATGTGTAAAAATACTTCTGAGAACGAAGAACAAGAAGACATAAAAATCCCAAAATCAATAGGGTTCTTTCATACACCAAATATGTATATGCCAAGTTTTAAGACTTTAGGAATTTTAAGGTAAAGAAAAGATTTAAGAACTCGAGAGCGAATGAAGATGAGAAGAAGATATGTCATACCAAAATCAAAAGATTATTCTTATATCATGGAAAAGTTATGTGACAAGTTTGAGAAAGAAAACCTGTTAAAGCACAATTGACAAAATATACAACAAAACACAAAACAATACGAGAAGAAGAAGAAAACAGTTTATTATTATATTATTTAGAGTACATTACAATAATCCAACTTACTGTCTTTTAGTCTTCAGTTTAATATACAAACTGAAAAGTACTTTAATTTTACAATTCTGTATGCGTTTCATGTGTAGCTGCGGTACATATTATCGGAGGCTATGAGAGATCCACTAGAGTACCTTTCCTTCGGAATTCGGTATAGAGAATAGTTCGGTATGGGAATTTTGTGTGTAAAAAATTTAATTTTACAAATATATATGCTTTCATAGTACCTTTCCTGATGGAGACTGGCCACCATAGAGAAATAGTTATTTCTCTATGCTGGCCACTAACTGAGTAGCCTCCTAAAGGTGCACTGTTTATATTCCTGACTTACATGCTGGATTTATACCGGTTGGTTCTAGTTCGATATTGGAATTTTGTGTGTGAAAAAAATTTAATTTTACAATTCTGTAGGTGTTTCATGTGTAACAGCGGTACAGATTATTGGAGCCTATGCGCCATCCACTGGAGTACCTTTCCTGATGGACACTATCCACTAACTGAAAGGCCTTATGAAGGTGCACTCTTTATATTCCAGATTTACATGCCGGGTTTGTACCGCTATTTTGGTATTAGAATTTTGTGTGTGTTCGAGTAAAATTTAGATTTTTGGGCTATTATATTTAATTTTATTTATTATGGGATAAGGATAGGGGTATTGGTAATGCGTTGAATGGACATATGAGTAGAGAATTTGCGGGAATAGAAAGGGTTCATGGAGGTTTGGGGGATACTAACAAGAAATTAAGAAGAAAATAATATGATTGACTTTACAGTGGCATGGGATTTGACTGTCATTAATGCGTTCTTTAGGAAGACTAAAGACCATTATGCTACCTATAGTAGCGGGGAAGGGAAAGTCAGGTAGATTTTGTGTTGTGTAGAAGTCAGCTAAAAGAAGTTACCAACTGTAAAGTAATAAAGACAACAGTAAAGTGCAAACAGAAGGTTAGAGGGGAAAAAAGAGACTAGAAAGAGGTATGACAGGTCTGAAAGAGAGGAAGATAAGGATATGTACAAGGTAGCAGAGAGGGCAGCAAAGTGCGTTGAAAGAAGTACGTAAGTTTTCCACTGATGGTTGGTTTGCATTAAGGCTCTTCACTAAATTCCTACCTGTTTAATATTGGTGTGGGTGTACTGATAGAAAAGGTAAGGAAGGCTCCTAGGTCAATGCTATTTGCGATTGATATCGTGTTGGTAGAGGATAGCAAAGAAATGTTGGAGAAGGGCTATTTAGGAGGGTGGACTTAAGGTTAGCAGATTGAAAACGAAGTTTATGTGGTAGGTAGGAAGAGGAATGGTTCAGTGCATAGAATCGCTTGGAGAAAGGGAGTAGAATGACTAGAAGCATTTAAATACTTTGGCTCCTACATAATGGAAAATGTGGCACTAGATTGAGAAATTGTCCACAGGATACAGTCTGGTTGGTTTAACTGGACGAGAATGAGCGGGGACCTTTGCGATTGAAAGAGGGCTGAAAGAAAATATTTCGAAGAGTGTGGTGAGACCTTATGGACTAAAAATCAATTTGAAGAAAACCAAGTTCATGGTATTTACAAAAGCACAAAACATCAAAGTTAAGCTAGTACTAGATAATACAGAAATTAAACAAATATTTCGTACAAATTACCTTGGAGCATGGATCACAGAAGATACAGATCAGACAAAAGAAATAAGATACCGCATTGAAATTGCGCGGTCAACTTTTAATACAATGAGAAAACTTTTTTTAATCGCGATATCAACCGTATATCGCTCCGGATAAGAATGCTTCGATGTTATATTTTCTCTACCCTTTTGTATGGAGTTGAAGCTTGGACACTTAAAAAAATCCAACATTAAAAAACCTAGAAGCATTCGAAATGTGGTGTTACACGACGTATTTTGAAAATATGATGGATGGATCGCAAAACAAACGAACAAGTTCTCGAACAATAGGAAAACAATGCGAAGTTTTAAATTCCATAAAAATCAGAAAATTGGAATGCTTGGGGCACATCATGAGAGGTGAAAAGTACGAACTACTAAGGAATATAATGCAGGGTAAAATCAAAGGTAGAAGAAGCGTAGGAAGACGTAAAATCTCGTGGCTACGCAATCTCCGTGAATGGTTTGGATGCAGTTCAATTGAACTATTCAGGCGAGTAACCAATAAAATTATAATTGCCAGAATGATTTCCAATCTCCGATAGGAGTGGACTTGAAGAAGAAGAAGATGAGACCTGCGTTGATGTGCGGCGATGAAGTATAGCCTGTAAGTAAGATTCAGGAAAAGAAGATTCTCCTTTGTTCCATCATGTATACAATTTCCTCCGTCATCCACTTTTTCTGTGCTTGTAAAAAATTAGGAGTTGTTAGCAAATCGTCAATAAATAGGTTAGAGATGAATTGCTCATAAGTAAATTAACCATACTGTAATAATTAAAATTGCAGGTAAGTATAAAATTGAGCCTACCCATCTTTATTAAAAAAAAAAAATTAATAAATGTCAATATTTATTTATATTATTATAGGAGACAGGAAATATTGTTTATATTTTATTTCTATTGGTACAAAATACTAATCTTACAGCAATAATCTAACGAAATACACATAAAAATATAAAGTATAAGGCAGCTTATTTAACTCTTTTTTGCTGCCTCTGCCTGTATATGTCATTAGTTGGTGGTAATGGTGCGTCTTCGTCATCTGATCCATCGAGTCCTATACCCGTCCTCTTCCTTCTCTTCAAGCCAATACCACCACCTTCTTCTACGATCCAATGAACAGATTTCGCAAGATCAAAAAGACGGACGTCGCCGTTACTTTCTGCGGGTGTTGGGACTAAAAATGAAGTGTCAAAAATATTAAAAATTAAATAATTTAAAACAATGTTTTAATGTGTCAAATATTAAATATCTCTCCTTTAAATCTTAGTCAAAACACTCAAATAAATTTTTATATATAAACTACGATCACTATCGTGCTACCAACTATACTTGAGAATCAAATTTGTAGGCAGTAAATTCTCCGAACTGTGAATACGATAAAGCGACAACATCGTTGCCAGTTTATGATAGATATTCTAGCAATTTATAATTTAATCATTGACATGCAGCAAAATTATCATATTAATGATCGTTTTGTATTTGTTAAGGTATCTAATAAAATGTATTTATTAACATCAATATTTATGTATATTATATTTATATACAATACTTAAATTAAACATCGTATTCTAGGACGGTAGAAAGGAATAGTAGATCAACGTTGTCATAATATAGAGAGAGATAAATTGTTCATTGATTTCAAAAACAATCCTCGCTTTTAAAAACTATATAAAAACAAACAATTTAGCAACAAGTCTTCTAATACAAAAAAACAATAATTTTTTTTCAATGGGTCAAACCGAGAACTCCCCGGCACTGCTGTTAAATGTATTGATGGAAAATATTATAATGATTTACTCAATAAAAACTATATAAAAACGTATATATTTATAATAAAATAAAAGATACGAGTATGTACTTACAGTTTTCTGGTAGGTAAATTCTGTTAAAGATATCCATAAGTATATCTATATGAACAAATGGTCCTCTAAAACAAGTAGGAGGTGGCAATAAAGTACATAAGTGAGCTGCAGCTGGCGGCATTGGAAAGGTACCCCCTATAAACAAATATCAAAAATCATATCATAAATTTAAGTATGTAACCATTTATTCCACTGCTGTGAAAGATGAAGAAAGAAGAAAATTGCGAAGAAAAAGTAAAAAAAATTATAATATAAAGCAATTAATTCAAAACTTGAAAGATAAAAGCTTGGTTTTCTAGTTGTAGTGTAGTTGTAGTATTTCTGTTGTGGTTAAAACATAATATATGTGAGGACCATGTAGATTTTTGGCACATATTAGAAGATATAACTGCTACTCCCACGCTGTCTGTTGATTTTGAAGCATCTGTATATATTTGAGAGAAATTTGTATAGTTTGATAATAAGTTTTGCAAATTTTGATATATTATGTTATGGTTAGTAGTATTTTTGTCCAATGAAGCTAAGGTAGTTATTATTTTTGGTACTCCCAAAGTCCATGGTGCAGCAGGTGCAAAATTAACGGGAAAGCAAGCACGTCCGAAAAGGCTTACGGTGCTTGCATCTATTTGCGAAGTGTAAATACAACTGGTGATGTACGTGTTAAGTTATTGTGTGCCAAATCAAAGGTGGCTCCCTTAAAAACGTTAACAATTCCACGTCTAGAGTTAAAGCCATGTTATTACTGGCACGCTTATTTGACAAGGTTAAGAAGCTGATGCAAATGGAATTCGAGTCTTCAACTTTATGGTCGGACTCAACTATAGCTTTAGCGTAGATACGAACCAGTCTCAATCTGCTAAAGACCTTTACAAGTAACAGAGTTTCGGAAATCCAATCTTTAACAGAAAATTCGAAATCAATATTTCAACGCACGATAGCCCAGCCGCTATTGTTTCTAGGGGTCTATATCGTAGATCTATTTTAGATTCAGAGCTTTTGTGGCCTGGACTATCTTGGCTGGCAAGTGAACAATGTTTTTGGCCAAAATATTCCTGCGAAAATGTCGCTGATTTGCTGGAGATGAAATCTATAGTTTTATCTACTACATCAAACGTTTCATTTTCATTTCCCTTTTAGGGCTTTTCTAAATTTTTTAGAATGCAAAGATCAGTTGCTTACATTTTTCGTTTTAAATACAATTGCTTAATATAGAAAATAAAAGACATGGACCTCTAGTGGACCTCATGGACCTATATAAATGGAGAGTATAGTTTGTCTATCTGCACCCTCGTCTTTTTTATACAATGGTTTAAGGATATTAAGTCTTCGACTGCCATTCGATTTGGTATTCGATTGCCAAATTTTTAATATGTTCTTTCCAATTTAGATGTTGGTCGAATGTCATTCTCAAAAATTTTACATTATTTTTTCCAACTATTATATTGGTTTATAGTAAGGGTCGAGGATAATTAGGGTAACTTTTCTTTGAAAATAATATAAACGGTGTTTTGTCTGTAAAAATTAAAATCCACAACTTTGCGACCATTTCTCTAGTTGATGTAAAAACGTTTGTAGCATATTCACATAGATAACAAGGTCGTTTGCTTAAGAGACCTTTCAATTATGAGTTCATATTGGCTAAGCCATCATTTATTGCTATTAAAAAAAGTGTAGGGCTTAAAACTGAACCTTGAAAGAATACCATTCTCTAGTTTTGTTTTTTCTGATAACATACCATTAGTTAAGTTGGAATGATCGATTGTCTAAGAAACTCTTAATGAACGCTAGGTAGTGTCCCCTGATATTTAAATTATGTATAAGTAGTATCATATGCTCCCTTGATGTCAAATAATATTCCGACGCATTTTTTATTTGCAGCAAAAACTTCAAGTACGTCATTTTCTAATGCTAGATTATTGTCCATTGTTGACCGATTTCAACGGAACCACTTTGACTTGGAATGATTTAGTTTCGATTCTTAAAGGTCCATGAAAGACTTTTATTTACAATTTTTCCTAGTAATTTACCATAGCACATGTCAAAGCTATTGTTCTATATGAGTTTGGATTACTTTTGGGATTGCTTGGTTATAAATTGGTATAATAATAGATTCTGAGCATTTTTATGGAAATTTATGTTATGTCCATATTAAACTAAATATCTTTAGGAAGTATTAGTGAGCGTTTGAAGCTAATTTTTTTTATAAAGTTTACTGGAATATCATCAGGTCAACATATCGAATTTTTAAAGGAATTAAGGGCTTCGTTTTATTCTTCCATCAAAAAACGAAAAAAAACGGTTCATAGGACTATTTATTTCGTCGAAGTCAATTAGATTATGTTCTTTATATTGCGTAAGTTTGATAAAACTATGATTATATTGGGTATCACTGGATCTATGTTTATAAGTGTTGGCCATTTCTTCTGTGATTTCGTTTTCGGAGGTAATAACCTTGTGTTGAATATTAAGTGAGTTGAATTTTAAATTCAATTTTTTTCCGATATTCGTCTTATCTTCTTACATATGTCACTGTATAGGAGTGGAGCTGTTTATTTTAAAAATATAATTATACAGGGTGGTGAATCGTCAAACGGGCCATAGGAAACTTAATGGGAAATTCTAAATTGTTGAATTCCTGCTTCCCTAATTATTTTACACCAAAAGTCATAGGAAACTATTTGTAGAGGACTCAAATATGTATCGAAAACAATTGTTAAAATTATTCTACGACTTAAACGTATTCCAAAATTTTGCTAAAATATAATACATTTTTCAGGCCACCCCTAAAAGTCAGGCCAGACGTCGTGAAAAAAATGTGTATTACGTGTTGCGTTTTGTCATATTGACGTTTCTAATATTTGACAATATTTAAATCAACTATATTATATTTATCTATGATTTAAATGGCCAATATTTTTATTTTGTGATTTATTGTTTAAAAAAATATTAAGTTGATTAAAAAATGTACTCAGTTAAGGAGAAAAGAGCAATAATGAAAATGTTTTATATCATGTTTTATTATAACATTTGTTATAGTTTTATGTTTAGAAATTATCATAAATTATTTTTAGGAATAAAGATCACAGTAACAGTATATTGGAATTCATTGAATTGTTGTATAACTTAACATGGAATTAAATTTTAGTGTATTAGAATATCTTACGTTAAATAAAGATCCGGTAGTGACAGGAAAAGGTTCGCGCTATTGCCTGAATACAACATTATGCGATTTTTCGTCAACTGAGTACATTTCATTATATTGATCGATTTGTAAACAATATAATTTATTGTTCACAAAGTAATATTGTTCAGTAGTAGTAGTATTTAGTAAAATTCATTGTTTATAATTTAATCATAAAACAAAAAATTGACAATTCAAATTGTCAAACATCTGACACTGTCAATATGATAAAACACACACGTTATATATTCTTGTATTACGTGTGGCCTAACTTTTAGGGGTGGTCTGAAAAATCTATTATATTTTTGCAAAATTTTGAAGTACATTTGATTCGTAGAACGATTTTAACATTTGTTTTTAATTCAGAATTTAGTCCTCTACAAATAGTTTTTTATGACTTTTGTCTAAATAATTAGGGAAGCAGCAATTCAACAATTAAAAATTTCTCATTGAGTTTCCTATGGCCCGTTTGACGATTCACCACCCGGTATTTTGATTATATATGATTATAATCAATCCAGGATTAATGTTTAGCTGTCTTTATTGTCAATCTAGTTATGGCTCGAGTTCTCTTATATTCAAGTTGATTTTCTAGGGATTTATTTCTTTTGTATTAGGCAGTTTTACTTTCTCTAATGACCTTTTTACAAGACTCGTTCCACCATGGAAGTGGTGTGGTATGTTGAGTTGGAGCTGTTATACCGATTGAGTTTTCAGCTGCCTTAGTAATAATTTTGGTCAAGTTATCTAAAGATTAATTATTGTTGTCGAGTACATCTTTATATCCGACTCTATCTGTTCGGTGAAACGCTTCCAATCGACTTTATCTATTTTCCATTTCGGAAAAAAACGGGTTGGGTGGTTATGTTAATTGTTTTCTATAATTAATAGACATTGGTCACAGTTGTACGTGTATTGCATTTGATACAAAGACAAATGTGGGTAAAGATCGCTCACACATATTGTTAGATCAAGTGGAGTTGCTTCTCCAGTTCTTATATTAAATCTAGTTGGACTTCCGTTATTTAAGAGAGACAAGTTAAGATTATCTATAATTTCTTCAATTGCAGTACCCTAAGATTAAGTGCTATTTCTGTTGGATTATTAAACTTCGGGTTTTGAATAGTATCATTATTAAAAGGCGAGGAAGGATTTAAGGTATTGTCAATAGGCCTTTTTGAACTGGTTGATCACTAATAACTTCCCAAAAGTGGTTAAATTTTGAAAACTTGTTCCACTTAATTTGAATTATTTTGGAGAGACAAAATAAACACACCGTTCTGATATACTACCAGAACCGGCAGGTATTTATACCTTTCTAGGCTCAATTTAATGTTTTTTTTTTACATCGATATAGCACCCAATTTTTGGTAAATTGTTATTTTTCCCAACCGCTATTTCATAGTATTTAGAAAATCATATACACTAGAATAAAAATTTAAAAATTGTTACGTATTCTAACCTGGGACTGGATGTTCTCCTGGCAAAGCTTTAGCCTTTGGTTTGTAAGGTATCATTTGCGAGTAATCTGGTACAGGTAGAGGTAAATCTGGCTCGAATTCTATTATTGACTGTAAAATGTGATTTTTTCCAGCAGCTCCAGTTATATTGATTACCTCGGTATATCTAGAAAAATACAACGTATTAAATTTGTAATGGTATATTGTTTGGTTAATTTAAATTTTATGCCAACTGGTAAATACGGATGTTGACGATTTTTGGGAAAGTGTTTAAAACTGTACAAAGTATCTAAGGTGAGTGACCCAAATTCAGACAGTGTTCTAAATTCAGACATATTTGTGTCTATTCGGTTAAAACAAGAAATTTAGTGTGTCCAGATACACGTTAAGACACCTATTATTGGTTTAATTTAATATTGATTTTTTCGTTTCAATATTGATTTCCTATCTTTCCACATGATATCTGCCAATACATAACCTAAAAGTTGGACAATTGTTCAATAAATATATTTTCTGTGCTCCAAAGCAAAAAATGTGCTCCTGGAAAAATATTAATTTGGTTCACTAATAATTTGATATTTTCAACTGACAAACTTTATAAGATCAATTAATGTGCAGTTGAAATTCCATTGGTATATAAATGAGGCAGTTAGATAATAATATGACAAAGTATTTCAGCTTCAAAATAAACTGAACCAGATTAGAGTAATGACCAATTTAAATTTAATGTCACTTCTCCATCTTTGGTATAGAAATCATACAACTTTGACCACACCTCAGAAACAACAAAACTATAAAGAACAATTTGAACAAACATTGAACTCTGAAAGAGAATACAATGATATAGAACAGCTATGGGAGGCGACTGTCGAAAGGTGTAGGCAGAAGAAGGCAAAAAGATGGTATGACGAGGAATGTCAGAAACAGCTGGAAAAAAGACAAACAGTAAGGAAGACTTGGGTACAACTGCAAACAGACCAAAGTAAAAAGAAATATGACGACTGCCGAAAAGAAACAAGAAAAATAATAAGCACAAAGAAAAGAAACTAAGAAAAGGCTCCAAAGAATTCTATAAAGCAATTTCCTCTGAGAAAAGAGGATATAGAATAAATTCCATCCATACACTGAGAGACAATCAAGGCCGTATGATAATCGACGGTAAAGAAGTAACTGAAGATTGGAAAAAGTATTTTAGGGACCTTCTAAACATCATACAGGAAGAACAGCACAAAGAAGAGATCTATATCACAGCGGACATGCCCGTCAAAAATCCTCCTTTGAAGAAACCCAGAAGGCCTTAAATAGGCTGAAAAATCACAAAGCGCCGGGTCGGACGAGATACCAGCAGAACTTCTGAAATATGGGGGAGACGCACTACATCGCCAAATAAACCAGCTAATAACGCATATATGGTTAGCAGAAAGGATACCAGCACGATGGAAGGAAAACAATAGTGTCCATCGTGCCTAACCACGGCATATGAAACCCTCTCAAACATCATTCTTATTCAACTTCTAGAAAAGGGATGGGAGTATAACAGACCCACACACAATCTTTTCATAGACTTTCGACAGGCATACGATAGCGTAGAAAGAAGCCAAGTATGGAATGCCATGGCGGAGTTCTCAATACCAAAGAAAACTCATTCGGATGACCAAAGTCTGTATGGAGGGTGAAATATCTAAAGTACGTGTAAATAATAAACTGTCCAGCAGCTTTGAAATCAACAGTGGACTTAAACAGGGTGATGCGTTATCTCCACTACTCTTTAACCTTGTAACCTTGAGAAAGCCATGAGGTTGGATGAAATAAAAACAGAATTGCTATCGGTTCAAGGTCCCAAGCTGTTACTCAAGGAGCAACAAGTGAAGTAGGGCTGAAGACTAATGAAGAGAAGACGAAATGTATGTGTATAAATAGAACGACACGAAGAGACAGAATAGGACAAAATGTGACGGTCAACACCTTAAATTTCGAAAGAGTACAACGTTTTAAGTATCTGAAGCCGTAATCACAGATGACAACGATGTTATTGAAGAAATAAAAGACAGAATCCAATCTGCAAACCGCTGTTTATTTGCACTGGATAAGCCCATAAAATCAAAAAATCTCACAAGAAGTTCAAAGATCAAAATCTATAAATCCATCGTCAGACCTGTAATAACATACGGATGCGAAACGTGGGACCATGACCAAAGCAAAGGAAGAAAAGCTCAGACGCTTTGAACGAAAAATACTTAGAAAAATTTTTTGGACCTCACCATGACATCACCACAAACCAGTATAAGATCAGAACCAATATCGAATTAAAAGCACTATACAACGACGCCGATATTGTCCAAGAAATTAAATCACAGAGAATAAGATGGGCAGGCCACGTGCACAGACTGCATAACGAACGACTTGTAAAACTGGTATGGGAGGAGATTTACATAGGCAAAAGACCACTCGGACGTCCCAGAATGCGATGGAGAGATAACATCCAAGCAGATCTCCGGAAAATAAACATTCCATTTGACCCTAGGTTGATGGAAGACCGAACAAATTGGAAAAAAGTTGTACAGTCTTCCAAGACCTACTTAGGGTTGTAGCGCTACGTGATGATGAGTTCAGCACATTATTGAATGTTACCGAAATGAAAATAGAGTTGAAAATAAATCAAGGTAAGCTCCAAATAAGATTTTTGCCGAACATAAGTAAAGATGGATTGTCAGAGATATAGCAACTAATCCTACAAAAAGTGCACCAAAATTGCGAGATAAGGTGAAAAGACAGTTTAGAAAACAATGTAACCCGGAAACAATTAGACGAATATTACGAAAGAATAACCTACATGGTCAAAATGCTAGAAATAAACCTTTTATTAGATAAAGAAATAGGCGTATTAGAATGGTGTTAGCTAGGGAGCATATTAACAAAGGTTTGATCTTTTGGAATTCAATATTTGCTGATGAAACCAAAATAAATTTGTTTGGGCCCGATCGAAAAATATTGGTGTAAAGAAAGCCGAATGAAGAACTAAAATTAAAAAATATGAAAGCTACGGTAAAGCCATCGAGCAAAAAGACAATAGAGGGAATGTAAAGGTAGTGGGGGCAAACATATTGTTAGACAGGAAGTGCGATCTTTAGAGGCCACTTTAAACAAGGATAGAGAGTCTCTCTCCTTGTTTGACATCAAATTTAGTTGGGTTATGTTATTGTTTGTCCCAAATGTCACATGAAATCTTATTTATATTGAAGTTTTTTAATAATTGTGTCGCATTTTAGACTCTTATCATTAATAATTAATTAAAACTTTCTCGTCTAAGACACATTCTGAAAAATATTATATAGCTACTGTCGATAAGTGTCGGAAAATTTAAATTTCGCGCATTCGCATTTCCGGATATGTCCGCCATCAGAGGCCACTTTTTTGGTCTCCTTTTCATAAGGATTAGATTCCCTCTTTTGTCTTATTGCTCGATGGGTAAAGCACAGTGGAGGTGGAGGGATGATGTGGGGGTGTATGTCATCTGCAGGAGTAGGTAACATGCATTTTATTGAAGGGAATATAAACCAACACATGTACTTGGATATACGAAGGCGATATCTCTCCACTATAGTCAAATCCCACAATTTGAGAGGGTGATTTCATAGTTTAAAAGCGGAATCTCCTCAAATTTCATGATTTTTTCAAAAACATGATTTTTTCAATAGTAAAAATTAATCACAAAATTGTAATAAAATAAATTTTATTTATATGTTCCGTTTTGTTACATATTTAAATTTATAAAATAAAAATCGATATTTTAAAACATTACTTTTCAATCTCTTGGCAACCTTGAGCTAAGCGACGGAGTTCCGACTCACAGACAGAGCTGTAAAACTTGTTTGACGGTAATGCTGATGAAGAAATCAAGTCATATATTGTTCAATTACATTGGCGTTTCGGAAGGTATGTATGTGTTCCATTTTGTGAATATATTTGATATAAATTTGTGTTATTGATAATACGAGTGTTATAGTTTGTCGTTTTATAGTAAATTTTTAGTTAAAATCTGTGATTATTTGGTTGGAGTTTCAGTTTATATTGAAGTTTTATATATAATATGTAGTTTTATTTGTTTATATTTTATGTATATATAGTTTTACATATTTATATTCTGTGATTATTTGATTTGAGTTTTATTAGAGTTTTGGTTTATACAATGGACGAAAAACCGAGCTGTTCCAAGAGAAGAAAACAAAATTCTGATGTTGATTCCAAAATGAAAAGTCGCAAAAGAGACGAAAATGTTAACGTCCGAAGAGAAGGTAATGATACGAAACGTTTATGAAGGAATTGTCGGCAGAAAAATGGCATTAAATATTAGCCAAGTGGTCGACATTTGTAGCAGCTTAACAAAAGTATCCGTTAGCTGTATTTATCGTGTAATTACAAATACATCGGAAAATCAAAAGCAAGAAAAAGGTAAAACTAGAGGTAGGAAAAGCATTGTTTTAGATGACGAGACAAGAAATATTATACGTAGAAAAATTCATTCATTTTATTTTCGGAGTGAAATTCCAACACTGAAAAAAATTTCTCAAGAGCTCCAAAACGATGACGCCTTACCAAGATATCTCGTATAGTCTTAATCAGGACCATGCGCGAAATGAAGTTTCGATATGTGAAAACTCAATAGAAAAAGTATGCTATTAGAAAAAAATGAAATTATTGTGTGGAGAAGAAAATATTTAGAAGAAATACGCAAAAATTCGCAGCACTGGCGGCAAAATATATTATTTGGATGAAATCTGGATTAACGAAGGTCATACAGTTGGAAAAGTTTGGCAAGATTTAAATGTTAAAAGTAATAATTTGAGTCGAAAAAAACAGGTGATTATCATGAAGAAATGACTTCCGAAGTATTTGAGCGCTGGTTTAAGAGAATTTTACCAAAATTGGAACCTGGGTCTGTGGTTGTAATGGATAATGCGCCATACTATAGCTGCAGACTAGAACAATTACCGACGACGGCATGGCGGAAAGAGAGAATTCAAGAATGGCTTACAGAAAAGGGGATTGCATACGAATAATCAATGCTCAAAATTCAGCTACTTGACATTGCACGGTTAAGGAAAAGTGAATATCTTAAATATGCTGTGGATGAAACTGCAAAAGATTATGGTGTCAAAGTTCTGCGTCTACCACCTTATCATTGCGAACTTAATCCATTGAACTTATCTGGGCGCAAGTGAAAGGAGAAAATAGCACGCAATAACAAAACGTTTAAATTAAACGAAGTTAAGGAACTTTTAATTCAAGCAATCCTCCATGTAACTCCAGAGAAAGGGGCTAAATGTATAGGCCACATAATTAAAGAAGAACGTCGTATGTGGGAACTTGACACTCATATCGAAGTTTTACTAGAGCCAATTATCATTAAACCAGGTGAAGATAATGACAGCGATGACTGCATCTTCAGATTTAGACAGCGAATAATATTTTCTAATAGTTTAGTAAGATCTTCAGAATAAAAAAAAATGAGAAGAACATAGCAAGTGTGTATAGTGTTTGTGTTTAAATAGTGGAATTTGAGCATAGTGTTGAAAAATTAGGTATTAATAACAATTACTGGTTTTATCAGGACAACGATCCAAAACACGCGTCCATGTCATTTAAACACCAGCCCAGGTACCAGATTTAAATGTTATTGAATATTTGTGGTTGAAATTAGAAAATAAAGTGCTCCAAAATCAAATATAAATGAATTGAAAATAAAAATTACTGAAGCTTGGGACACAATTTCCCCAGAATACACTAGAAAGTTGGTCGAATCTATGCCTAGACTGCAGGCTGTCATTGATCATGAAAGAGGACCTACAAAATATTAGCAATCATTTTTTAATGCACAGAGTTTGTTTTCTTTATTAATTTTCTTGTTTTAAAATTTGCATCATTTTAGCTGTAAGATCAAAATCATTTCATCAAATAATTAATATTTATTGTTATTTAAGTATGGTATATTAGAAACCCAAAAAATAGCTTATAATAGTTAAAAAGACTTTTAGTAATTTAATTTTTTTTTTCTAATAAATATGGAGCCACTGACACAAGCTAGTTTTATTAAATAGCTACTGCATCATTTAAGCTGTGAGTCACTGTATATTTCATCTAATAATAGTTTTACACCCTAGAAATTGTAAAAGTAGAATCAGAAGAATAGATTAATCCTCCAAATATATGTTTCCACGGAAACATATTGATTGTATACACTTAATAGTTTTACATACCCAATACTTTTCAGTTCTTGAGGTGTGCATGGAAAGAGATCCAAAAATCTGTATCTGTCTACTAATTGAGCGGTTTCCTTGCCTTCAAATTCCTTAATTTTTGACAAAACTTCTGATCTTCTCTTTTCCACTTTAACAATGGATTGTAAATCCCCTATGTTACTTTCGAATTCTAAAAATCGATTCCAAATATCGCTGAAAAAAAAAACAGAATAAATAATATTTTATACGAAATAAAAGTACATAGTAAAAATTTAAATCTCTAAAAAAGTATCGCATGGTTTGTTAATTTTTTCCATTCTTCATGTATATTTAGGAACGTTTTTAATACAAATTTTTAAATTAAACGTTATTGCCAATTTCCTTTTCGATTTTACGATCATATTTATTAGTTATGTGTTAATACTATAGAGTGTAGAGACCGTCTTTTGTTGATGATTTTCGAGCTGACAAGGGTCATAATGTAATTGTTGAATTATCAATAAAGAATGCAAAAGTAACACCAATATTTTTTTAAAAATGGAACATGGAGAATCGGTTGCGTTAGTGGCGTGGGATCCCGGTGCCACAAAGGCTTATAAATCGAAAAATACGTTTTTATTGAAGGCATAGTCCAGTCTATATTTTGAAACTTACACAGATTTTTCAGGCTCCAAACTTCCAGATGACAATACTCTTTCGAACAATACCCTGGTGTTGTTATCTTCATTCAAATGCGATAAATAATCTATATAACAAGTAATATATTCGGGAATAGCGCCAAATTTTTTAAGACCAAGTTCAAAAATTCTAAAAGCAATATTTTTGTCTTTACTGCAATAGTATTCCATTAACGCCGCACATACGAATAAGTGGTATTTAGAGCGATTGTCTTCTCTAGCTTTCTTAAAAACAGCTCTCGCAGATTTAATGCCTTCTGCTCTTCTGGCGAATTTCATGTATTGGATGTATGCCTGCAAAAACAAAATATATTAGGAAATGTTTGGTACCGATGTTTCATATCAAAACACTGCCGTTGAAGAAAAAGGGCAATGTATAAAAGAGATAATTCTGAAATCAGCATTTCTCCCCTATGATGGTCCCGAACAACCAACACCAAGGGAGTTGGAATAGCTAGGTAGCGATTTCAGGAAAAGTGGACTGCATTTGATCATCGGCTGTAATGCGAATGAACGCCATCTAATCTGGGGCAGTACAAACAATAATGAAAGAGGTGACTACAGTTTGTTATGGAACAAGATTTTAGACATACTAAACGTAGGAAATATACAAAATTTCTTAACTTCACAACGAAATGCGGTAATTGATATTACAGTGACCACGACTCACGGTGCTAGAACTGTTAAAACATGGCATGAATCTGAGTAGGTGCCTCTAAAACAACGGGTAATGAGCCTATCAAGAAAACTTACCGCAAACCTCGTAAAACAAACCGGGAAGAATGTCAAGCAGACGTGGAATATTGTTTATGCATGTTAAAAGTCCGATAGGGCATACATTAGACCTAGATATAGCCGCCGAACAATTTCAAGACAATTATCCTGAGATAACCTCCAACAGGAAGGTACCCTAGTAAAATGACAACTGTGCAAATTAAAGGACAAAAGTGAGACATACATTTTAATCTCGCCAAAAAATCTGGTCAGTGGACCAATAATCGCATAGCTTTGACTGAATATAAGAAACTGAGAAGGACAAAAGAGAAACGTGAAGAAGGCATTACAAGGAGATAGGTACTACATAAATGTTAAGACTTTATACAGTTTTCTCAAAATACCTTCATATAAATATTCCTCATTCTAAAAGAAGTTAGGTGAATACACTCAGAATGGCGAAGAAACCCTGAAAAAGTTTTTCATGGTGCACTTTCCTGAATCTAAAAGAAAAGTGATACCACTAGACACAAACTAGCAGCAGACTGGGCAGGATACCATAACGTATGGTGGGGAAAAACTGGCGTGTGGCAAAAGAAGTGGTAAACCATGAAAAATTCAAATGTGTATTTAACACAAAATTCAAATGTGTAACCATAACATATTTGAGCTATATAAATCACCGAGTCCGGACGGGATTTATACATCTACAGAAGGGAAATGAGCTTCTATACAAAAAAATATGTGTGATACTAAACGCTAGCTTAGGAATGTAAAAGAAGCTTTTCAAAAGAAAATATAATAATAGAACTAATACAGTATACTCCCCCTATAACGAACACGGTTATTACGAAGTTTCGCTTATAACGAGGTACCTTAGATATCCCGTGAAATTTCTAGTGAACTATAACCCTCTATAGCGAGGCAAATTTGGTTAAAGCAAGAGAAAATAAGATAAAAAACGTGTTTTTTACGTTTTTGGGCCCGGCCGTGGCTACAAATAAATACCCTTTTTAACTGCCGCCCGCAATAAACGACCGACATTGTGTTGTCGGAATTTACAATTTATAATTCACACGTGTCAGTGTAGAGGTTTGACCATTCAGCAAATGGCGAATGATGACAAATGAAACAAATTTTACCAGAATTTCATTTCACACTTGTATTTGTCGTAGATGTTTGTTTCCTGATTGTGTTTCGCGTCTTGAAGATTTTTTTGTAGATTACATAGTCACATAGATTACACACTATGACTCCTAAAAGAAAAGTATTTACTTTAGAAGAAAACATTACAACATCCTTAAAGTAGTTGAGAACGTTAAGAAGAAAGCAGAAGTTTGTCGTGAAAGAGGAATTTCAATTTCCACTCTAGCTACCATGCTCAAAAATAAACAAAAGCTTTTCGAAGCAGGTTCGTCTTTTTTCCGGTAAATCGAAAAAACTACGTGCCGCAACTAATAAAGAACTCGATACTACAATGGTCAAATGGTTTACCGTAAACAGGGCTGTGAATGTTCCAATAAGTGGACCACTGCTTCAAGAAAAAACAACACAGTTTTCGCAGGCGCAAGGTGGTGATGAGAATTTTAAAGCATCGAGTGGGTGGATGAGCCGCTTTAAGGCCAGGCACGAAATTACGAAAAAATTTGCGGAGACGCGAAGAATGTTTCCAAAGAAGTCACCGACAACTGGTCATGACCTACAATAAGACAAAATTTCAGTGACGATAATGTTTTCAATGCCAACAAGCTGGGACTTTTTTTTAAACTTACTCCGGATAAATCGTTACTCCCTCAAATTCAAAAATGAACGTTGTATAGGTGGCAATTTATCAAAAGAAAGGGTAACTGTATTCGTGTGTGCCAACATGTCCGGTTCCGAAAAAAGAAAGTTAGTCGTCATTTGGGAAATCTCAAAAACCACAATGTTTCAAAGGTGTGAATTAGCTTCCTGTCATATATAAATTTAATAAAAAATCGTGAATGACAGAAGAGATTTTTAGTGGAGAACTTTTGAAGTGGGACAGAGAGTTGGGACATCTAAAGATTCTTTTAATTGTTAACAATTGTACAGCCCATCCGAAAGTTAACGATTTAAAAAACATTCAACTTCTTTTTTTACCCCCAAATTGCACGTTCGTTCTGCAACCGATGGATGAGGGCATCATAAGATCTTTTAAAGTTGACTACAGAAAACTTTTAGGTAAGCGGATCTTGAATAATGTGGAAAACCGTAGTGAATCCCTTGTTACTTTATTATATGCCATAAATTTCATCCACAAAGCATGGACACTCGTAGATAAAAAACGATCAGAAAATGTGTCGGTCATGAAGAGTGGACAGAGACTGAGGTAGAAAACGAAGAAGATGAATATACTGTAGCAGAGTGGTTGAGGTTACAACAGCAAGGTGAAGAACTAACCCAACTGAACAGTGATGACGAGTTTGCTGAATTCATTGCCATTGATGATGACGTCATTGTTTGTGATCTTCCGACGGATAGTGAAATTATCGCGAAAGTAATAAATCCGCCTGCGGAGATCGTTATCGTCAGTGACGAAAGTGGTGAAGATAAAGAAGACAATCGCGGTGAATCCACACAAGAAGGTCAATAGACAAGATGTGAAGAGTGCTTTAAACGTTGTAAGAGACTTTATCCAAAGACAAAACGCAAATGAAGAAGCATACAACTGTTTCACATCTTTAGAAAATATAATAGATATAATGATACTGGACAATTTAAAGCAGTCAAAAATGACAGACTTCTTCCAATTACAGAAGCAATAGTTATACATTATACATTATGTAGTTGGAAAAAAATTTGGGTACAGATTTTTGTTTTAACGTATATCATTTGCAATAAAAGTAAACAACTCTTTTTTGTTTTAATGTATTTCATTGACAATAAAAATAAATAACTTTTTTTCAAAAACGGCATTCAAACAATATTTAGCATCTTATATTGCTCCGAATGGCTCGACTATAGGAAGTTAATGTTTTAGAAAAACTATACAGGGTGAGTCATAACTATTGGGACATAGACTAAGGACAGGTTATCTGGACCAAAATATGGCCATTGGACCAAATATACCTTAATAAAATGTTGCTGAGAAAAAAGATACAGGGTGTTAAAGTGGAAATTTAAAATTTTATTTTTGGCTATAACTTTAATGTTTTGTAAACATTTATGTATAAAAATTTACAGCTGGGTACTATTGAATATCGGAAATTATAATTTGATGCATACTTTAGTATATCTAATAGAGGGCGCCACATATGCCACATACGTGGCATACATTTACACTTAACTTTTTTGTTCTTCAAATTACCGGTATTCTTGATAAAAAAATATTAAAGATACATTATTTTAACAAAAAAAAGATATACTTGTTAATAACTTCAAAACTCAATAGTTTTCAAGATAATCGCATTTTACAAATCAACTGCATAATTCTGATTTAACGCAATTACTCCAGGCAATGAAAGAAAAATAGATAAAAAACAATAATACTTCTGAATTTTGTTATAAAATACCTTTAATAAAGTCAATAGTTAACGAAATATTAAATAAAATAAATATACCAGCAGGATAATTAATAATAGGATTTGATAAAATAACAGAATAATTGGATTTTACATCAAACATTTTTCGTTTTGTATTAAATTAATGTCATAATCAAAACATTTTATTTACAAACCAAATTTAAAAATAGGTAAACTAAATAACATTAAACTTTTTGTCAAATTAAGTGTTTGACTTTTATCAAAGTCAGTGTTCGATATGTCCACCATTTTCTTTAATTCATTTGTCAATACATTCCATAAAATATCGTCTCATATTAAATAGCATCATTGGTTCTAAAGAACCTGCTGCAGTATTTATTATAGTTATTTTAAATATAATATTTAGTAATTTTTTGAAATTTTTATAAATTAAACAATTATTATTATCTCACCACAAGAATATGATTACCACGAACAATCCAACGTTCAGGAAAGTGTATTTAAATACTGTCTTACTCCGCTTTCACTGTAATGTAATGGTGTACCATCTTGTAGAAACCACATATTTTGTCTTAAGTTTGATAACAATTCTTCCAATAAATCAATAAAATCATTTTATTGAAAATGTAAATCAATCTCGACATTCAAATTGCAAGGTAATTCGAATATCCGAAAAAAATAATTATCAATGGTTCCAAACCATGAGACTGAATTTTAAATATGAATTTTGAATGATATTTTACAGATATGCGAATTACCTTTCAATTTAAATGGTGAGATTTATCTACATTTTTTATAAAATGATTTTATTGATTTATTGGAAGAATTGTCATCAAACTTAAGGCGAAATATGAGGTTTGTACAAGATGGTACACCATTACATTACAGAGAAAGCGGAGTGAGACAGTATTTAAATACATTTTCCTGAACGTTGGATTGTTCGTGGTAGTCATATTCTTGTGGTGAGATAATAATAATTATTTAGTTCATAAAAATTTTAAAAAATTACTAATTATTATACTTAAAACAACTATAATAAATACTGCAGCAGTTTCTTTAGAACTAATGATGCTATTTAATATGAGACGATATTTTATGGAATGTATTGACAAATGAATTAAAGAAAATGGTGGAAATATCGAACACTGACTTTGATAAAAAGTTTAATGTTATTTAGTTTAACTATTTTTTAATTTGGTTTGTAAATAAAATGATTTGATTATGACTTTAATTTAATACAAAACGTAAAATGTTTGATGTAAAATCCAATTATTCTGTTATTTTATCAAATCCTATTATTATTTATCCTGCTGATATATTTATTTTATTTAATATTTCGTTAACTATTGACTTTATTAAAGATATTTTATAACAAAATTCAGAAGTATTGATGTTTTTATCTATTTTTCTTTCACTACCTGGAGTAATTGCATTAAATCAGAATTAAGTAGTTGATTTGTAAAATGCGATTATCTCGAAAACTGTTGAGTTTTGAAGTTATTAACACATATACCTTTTTTTGTTTAAATAATGTATCTTTATTAGTTTTTATCAGGAATACCAATAACTTAAAGAACAAAAAAGTTAAGTGTAAAAGTATGCCACGTATGTGGCATATGTGGCGCCCTCTATTAGATATATTAAAGTATGCATCAAATTATAATTTTTGATATTCAATAGTAGCCAGCTGTAAATTTTTATACATAAATGTTTACAAACATGAAAGTTATAGCCAAAAATAAAATTTTAAATTTCCACTTTAACACCCTGTATCTTTTTTCTCAACAACATTTTATTAAGGCATATTTGGCTCAATAGCCATATTTTGGTCCAACTAACCTGTCCTTAGTCTATGTCCCAATAGTTATGACTCACCCTGTATATTATTCGTATGGGTGCACAGTATTATTGTTGTCTGATATAACGAGATCGGCTTATTAAGAGGTAATTAGTCTGCCATTTCAGTTCTCGTTATAGAGGGAGTCTACTACAGTATGATACAGTATTTCCTATGTTTCTGTTGGTTAAGTGCATATCGTATATTTCCGTAAATTTCAGACTTATATATCTGGAATAAACGTTCTGCATTTGGACAATCTAAATGTTTTACGCATATATTGTATCGTAGTCACTTAGGAGAGGGATATTATATCCGAATATTTGGTAATTAAGAAAATACATATCAAATCTGATAACACCGAGGAAGGTAAATTGTAAAACATACGAAAATATTCACTGCGGCCACAATCCTCTAAATATTTTTAAAGGGAAGCAGTGTTGTTATACAGTGTATCCAAATAGTTAAAAATATAATATGGTTTTAATATCTTACCAGTGTAGGATCGATATCGCTGGTTTCCAAATATTTATTATAAATTTGGTGCACTTTTTCATATTTCAGTCTTCCCTCCTCATAATCTGCATAAGCAAAATACAGAAGCATATTTTTACTAAGCAATGTACTCGTAGCACGTTCAAACATATTTGCAGCTTCCTCACTAAACAATTTGGACGCATTTACATCCTAAAAACAAACATTGGGCACATTAATTAAATTTCATATTAAAATATCAGAATTCTTACCCCCTTCTCTGCCAAAATCTTACAACTGTATTCTAAGAATTGTGCGGCTTGGTACCAAATGTCAGGATGATGTCCAAGACATAGTAAACATTGTTCAAGGGCAAAAACCACTCGTTTAGTCAGTAGAGCCGTATCTTCAGTTCGTAGAGGATTGCTCTTTTCCCAAGCAATATACTTTTGCCACAGTTCCACCTTAAGAAGATAAAATAGATTAAACATGTTATTTACTAATTAGTCCTTTATCATATACTTACTTGTTTTCTTTCGTCTGGACTAGCACTTGGAGGAACACTTGGAGCATTTCTATTGATGCCTCGAATTTGAACTTCTAGTTCTTTTACCACTCGCCTAGCGTTCATATAGTCTCTGCTTCGTTCAATGCTCATTTTTTCAGCAATTATAGCATTTATATTCTGAAAGATCAGAACTTTATTAAGAATAATATTAATAGAAATAAAGACTACTTTGGTTGTAAAGTTCAAAGACTTGCAGTGCTCAGACTACAAGCGTTTGACTACCATCTAGTGTAACTAGGCTAGAGCCTAGATACCAAAATAAGTTGATTTATCAATCAAAATGCTTATAAATACAAAATATAATTAAGGCATCTCATATTAATAGTTATATACTAATAAATTTCTTAAATCATAAACTTTTCATAAGACAGTACCACAGTATAAAGAGGTTCCACAGTAGAAACATCTCGTCTGTCGGCGCTTTGATCTCAGGAAGTAATACCGGCAAAGTACGAAATTGGTAATCCACCACCGTTAACCTTACAGAGCCGTATTAAAATTTTCTGAGCCTACTACTATTAATTTATTTAAATAAAAAATGAGGCTTCCCATATTTAACTGCCCAAATGCTCTCACTAAATGTTAATATTACAAAAACAAAGGGTTTAATAAATTAAAAACAATATTATAATTCATTGTTTATATTTTTCAACGGTATTTTAAATATCAACGGTATTGCGCAAGTTTTAAAATCTCAATGGTTTTTAATATATTGTAGATGTCATATAAACGTTAAATAAAAAGGAGGTTAATTTCGAAGCTCTCACGGCATTACTATACTTTGTTTTTAAACCAGGAGGAGTAATTCAAGTTTACCGCGTCATAACGCTTGTTTATAATTCGTCCAACGGCAGGCAAGTTTACTCCACTGTTATGAAATTTTGTCCTTATTTACATTTCGTAGGTGAATTTGGTTATATCGGTGATTTTTTGTGTTTTCTGCATTATTCGTTTAGTTTTAGTTGTAGTCTGCAAAAAATTAATTAAATTTTGCAATAGTCTTTTCGTCAAATCAACGCGTAATGTGCAAGAATACATCAATTAAAATTCAAACTGCTGAAAAGATAACCATTTATTCTATATATTATGCAGAGTTTTACATGGTTTTACAGTAAAACCAAATCTTAAAATCACCGTAAATGAATGGAAAAAGTTTTTTAATAGTCTCGAGAAGCTTTTTATGTTTTATGGTGATTTTTAGCCACAAATTGAAATAAAAAAATTCTCTTCGTCTTTCTTATTTTTAACAATTTCAATAATTTTTTAATAAATTAAACGAATATCAACTATTCTAATTCGGAAATAAGCTACAATTTAACTTGAAAAAATAATGTTATTAACGTTTCGTCTTCCAAGTCAGACGTCGTTGTCAAAATACAAAAATAAATTAATATTTTGTATTTTGACAACGACGTCCGAATTGGAAGTCGAAACGGTAATAAAATTATTTTTTCAAGTTAAATTGTGTCCTAGTAAGGACATGAGGAGTCAGATCAATAAAGCATCTGCATTGTCAGGATGTCTGCCGGAGATAGTCTATCTAATCTGTAACATCATCTATCACATTTTTTTATCTCGGCATATAGAGGTTGCCAAAAACGTTTGTTTCATTACCACTGTAGGCTTTAACGTAACAAAACAGAGACGAATCGCGTAGTTCATCGTACTCTCTCCCATATGCTTCACAGATTAGACAAACATGTTTCCCAAGACACTTTTTTATTAAATAACTGCATATATATATCCTGTGAAGTTTTTCTGTAATTTATTTGAAGTTTGATATTTTTGGTCATCCAAAGTGTTTTCAGGAACCAAAGCAGTGGTTTCAGGCAGATAATCGTCGGTACATATATCGGTTAAATTTAAAAAAAAAATGGCCTGCGTCTCTTTCGCAATTTTCTGTACCGGAATGCATCATGTCTAAACAAAAATATCTTTTGAATGCTGCGGTAAATTGTACCGGAGTAGGGTTAACACAATTGCCACCTTGCTGCCTGATTGAACCAAAAAAGGTTTCTAGCCAATCTTGATTCATCCGCCTTGTTAAAAAATAATCCATTCCATGTGACTGTAGTAGATTCCACAAATGAATCACTCCATTAATGGTTATTTTCCAACCATTAACATATTTTATTCTTGGTGTTACATTTTTAGCTTTAAAATTAATTACCTGTAAATTATTACACAATCGGAAACACGTATTAAGAAATTCTTGCTAAGTATCGGTTCCTCTATACGGTCTTTGGTACTCAGTTGCTCCTCTTAATGAAGAAGAATTGGGCATATCAAATAAATTATTAATGTTCCTAATAAATCTTTCGGTTGTTGTTGCTTCCTCGACGAATACATTAAATCTAATATACAGATACAGACCGGCAGCAACAGTGTTACTAAATATCTGAGAAGCATATTTCATTTTCATATTTTCAAAATTGTTAGGAGATATATGTGATTCGGTCAATTTTGGCGCTGTACGTATAGGATATTGTTTATCATGTTCGAAAATTTTTTTAATAAATTCCCAAGAAACGATAATATCATCAATAACAAATTTGTTTCTTAGGAAGTTATTACGAAGTGCTTTTAATAAATGGGGTGTATCAAAAGAAAAGACAATTTTATTATTTTCATGATAAAAATATGATCTATCGGCAGATATATTTAACAAATTTGGAAGTTTAAGATTATTAATACCACTTCGAATTTTACTCATGTTCAACTTCACAATACTAACAATTATTCACAAAACTAACTCAGTTTAAGCAAAATACGGCACTGTTATCCCGTACGTTTCTACGCGACTAGCAACGAAAGAATGGTTCTCGAGCGACTAAGAAATAAGCGCAGTCGCCCTGCGCGTTGACAGATTTTACTTTCAATTTTTCGGAGAGTGGTTCTACTGTGGAACCTCTTTATACTGTGACAGTACGTAATTTCTGAGTAAAAACCGCGTTGATGTTGGTCTATTGCGATATTTTGATTACTACTAAGAACTATTTTCATTTCTAAAAATGCAGATTCGCTCAAATATATTGATCTGAACATTCCTGTTAACTGAAGAGCTATTTGTTTTAAACATGGATATTTGTCTTCTGATATAAAAGACCATAATTTGGTATCAGATGTTCTAGCTTGAAGATGTATATCTAAAATTATTTGTAATATTCCATTTTGGGCAGAAATGATCTCCATACTGAAAACGTTTGATATTTCAATAGCACATTTTTCAACATCTTCACGAGAAAAAGGATGAGCCATGAAACTTACGATATTCGTCAGTGTTTTTAAATCCGCGAACCGTCTTTCAAACTATCTTAGAATGTTTTTCAGCTGTATCTAGTAATAATAATAATTTGAGTGAGACCTGGCCCTAGCTTTCAAGCTGGAAAATGTACTTTATTTAATTCACCAATCAATAGCTTCATTTTGTTAATAAAACTATTTATGGCGGTAATCATATCGACCTTGAGGAGGATGAATAAGGAAGGAGAGCTTATGCTTATAATAAAAGAACGGAAAACACAATATTTTGGTCACATCATAAGAAATCAAAAGTATGAACTGCTTCTGCTTATAATCGAAGGCAAAGTCAATAGCAAAAGAGGACCAGGAAGAAGACGCAACTCTTGGCTTAAAAACCTACGGCAAAGGACGAACATGACCTACATAGAACTATTCAGGGCTGCTACAAATAAGATTAAATGGACAAATGTAATGGCCAACGTCCTTAAGGATAAGGCACCGTAACAAAAAGAATCATATCGATAACAGTTTTATATTACCATTGCAGCTCAAGATTAAGGATATTCAAATGATTCATCACATCCGATAGGCGAAGTATCGCAGTATCCTTACCTCGTTCATGTAGACAAGAAATTATTTCAGGTAGTAGTTCTTGGAAGTCTACATTCTAGGAAGGCAACGGGAAACCACCTAGAGCTAACTTTCCCAAAAAACAATCATGGAAATGGATGATAAATACAACGACCCCGAGTACGGGCCCTCCTTAAATGGAGCAAGGGTGCTAAGAATCTCCCGCTCAGCTAGAAGCATGAATACTTTTTCTGATGAAAGAAAAATAGGTACATGGAATATAAGAAGCATGTACGAACCAGAAAAGGTTCACAACTAGGATATCACACTGGGATATTACCAACGGATTGGCTTCGACATTTGTTACAATACCAAAGAAACATCGTGCAATGACATGTAGTGATTATCAGACAATAAGGCTGATGAGTCACGTTTTATACTAGTCACGAGTAATACATAACAGAATATACACGATATTAAAGATCATTAGCAATACTCGATTCGGATTTAGGTGTGGCTTTGGTGCGAGACAAGCCTTCTTCAGTATCCAAGTTATGATCCAGAGATGCAGAGATATAAATCAAAATAAATGTGTACATCTGCAATCGATTTTGAAAAAGCTTTTGACAAGGTCCGACATACCAAAATGTTAGTAATATTAAAAACAGCTGGATTGGACAATAAAGATTTACAAATAATTACAAATCTATACTGGCATCAAGCGACAAGAATAAAAGTTAAATAAGAACTGTCGGATGAAATAAATATAAAAGAGGAGTGAGACAAGGCTGTATACTATCGCCTTTACTCTTTAAATTGTAGTCAGAAGAAATATTTAGGGAAGCCCATCCAAGAAATTAAAAGCCGTATAGAGCAAGCCCGAGCCACTTTTGTAAAAATGAGGAACGTACTTTGCAGCCATGATCTTAGCATTGACCTTCGCATTTGAATGATATACTGCTATATTTCGCTAGTGTTACTGTATGTAGTAGAAGCATGTACCCTAAATGAGTTAACTTTTATGGAGGCGATGAACTTTTACATCTGATCATTCAGAGAAAGATACTAAGTAAACGTGGTCCTGGTAGAAGAACATCATGGCTGAAAAATATAAGACAATGGTACACAAAAACGGCTACATCATTCGATAAGTCACGATAGCGAATATGGTAGTCAACATGATATCCAACGATAGATAACGGTCAAGGAACTAGAAGAAGTAGTTCTTGGAATCTTTCTAAAAATGTTCCGCGGTTCAACCATCTTCTGTATGAAGATGTAAATCAATGTCGCCAGCAGATTTGCTAGCTTCCAACTGCATTTTAAAGAGATGTCGTTGCAAGCTTTGCACACGGATTAAATTCACGATCTTTGTGTCTGTCACATCATTCAAGTTAGTATTTTTGAACATAAAACGTGCTCCTGAATGATGTAATGGAATGAAAAAAATGATAGGAAGTCATCGCTGGCTTGACAAAATCCAACAAATCCATTTTCATTGCCAGTCATATATGCTGCTCTATCTGTTGTAATGGACACACGAGTTTGTAAATCGGTTGCCATATTAATTTGCAAAATTTAGAAAAGCTGTGTAAATATCTTCTTCACGAGTTTTTCTTTCAGAGGTTTCAGAGGTCTCCCGAGGAGAAGCTGAAGACTTACAAAAAAAGACAGAATTGAAAACGCAGAGATTAAGCGGAGAATGGGAGTGCAATCAGACATAATCGACTATATAGAGGAAAAGAGACTATCCTGGTACCTAATAAGCGACCTGTAAACCTATTTTACCTTAATTTTATTTAATTTCATTTAATTTTATAGAATTTTATTTAATTTTACTTCTATTTTCGTTTATTTATTTTAATACATTTTATTAATTTTAATTAATTTTTTTTTATCATTTTCTACATTCACTTCAAATGACTCGCAGTGTATATTTTTTTAAATAATTGAAAACCAGCTTTACTTGATTATCGATATAGTCTTTATTGACTTTTCTGGAGGGATTCGACTTAAATCAGAATTTTAGTTATTTTACGCGAACATTAACAAAAAATGTATCTTTGCTTAAAACTCCTTTTGCAAGTGTAGCGTGTAGTATTCTCTAATGGTGCGTACTATGCGTCTGCTAACAAATTCTCACCTGTTCAAATGCAATGTAATCCTTCCAAAATGTTTCCATTCCCGTCATTGGTGTAATAATACCTCTTTGGTATACTTTTCTAATAGCCGAGATCTTCTGATTTTCTGCATAGGAACCAACGGCCTCAACCCCTTTTAAAAAGTTCACATAATCGTTCCAGACAGAATACGAATGAATATCCATTCCAATTCTATCGAGGGCAAAATCATAGGCTTGGGCCATTTTTTCCCTAAAATAATAATTATTATCGTACATGCATTACAATTTTGGAGGAACATGTAAGAGTAGCTAATGAGCAGGCAAATATAAAATTATAATTGAATAATCTTGTAACTGTAAGAGATGTATGCGAAATATATAATATCATTTAAATTGTTCTTTAAATTATTGCTATGGTTTAATATTATGTGCTGCTGTAGATTATGTTTGCCTGTCCGTCCGTCCGTCTGTCTGTCCAGTCGTAGATTGAAAAAACTGTAATATAAAGAGAAATCCTGACGTCCGATTCCGATTCAGCACTTAAAAGTTATTAAGACAAAATTATCAAATCGGAAGTACTCACTTTTGGTTTTGAAAAAATTATTAAAAACGGTATAACTCCCAAACGACGCGCGACGATAGATACACTTATTTTGACAACTGAGCGTGATCAGCATGCAAAAAGACAACTAACAACATGTCTTGGTTAACATCCATTCATAAAAAGTTTTCAATAACGATGAAAGTTTTTGTTGACTTTCGGTTTATTTTTGATATGTCCTAACAGCTCGAGATTCACCTTTTTCGTGAAATCCTTACCTTGCAACAAACGATCGATTTGATTTCGATCCACAACTTTGCTTGCAAGACAAGTCGAGCAGAAAAATGATATTCGCACCGATAAAGATGTTCGCCCCTTTACAATAGACTACCTAAATCTCACGTCACACTGGGCAGGGATTTTAAAAACCTTTTCAAGCATTTCTAATGTGTGTGTATTTATCCCCTAAAAAGGAGTTATAAATATCGCTTTTTTAATTGTTTTAAGAATAAGTAAGGGCTTTTGGTTATAAACATTCATTCTGTGCGATTGGTATTATTTGTTGTTCGTGAATTTGTGAGGTTATTTTTATTTATTTATTTTTTATTTATCATATGGCACTTGACACATTTACATTTAAATTTACACATAATTTGTATAAAACATAATACATATATGTTTACAAACGAACATCTAACTTATTTATATATTCTATCGACTCTGGAGTCGCCATTAGGAAATCCTCTGACCTGCCTTGATAGGATCTTGTGGGATCCTATTTTGTCTATGGATCCTATTCTGTAATGTGACAGATGGTTTGTGGTTGTCCGCAGTCATAGAGTGGGGATGGTCGTTTACCCCATTTGTGCATCATATAACCGCATCTGCCATGTGAGGTAAGAATACCAAAGTATTAAGATATTTACTATGAATGTTAATAATTTAAGGTTATGTTATTGTTTGATTAAAACTTTAATTATTTTTTTATAATTCAGGGTACTTTGTTGTTGTTTTCATCAGGGTTATTTCAAAATAAATCAATAAATAATTAAATTTATTTACGTTAATTTATTACGTGTTATTAAGTTGAAAAATATTTACATTAATGTTTTATTCTTTTTTCGTTGCCAATGATTTTATCCCGTAAAAGACTAAAGATATTCGTTTTCTCGTAGTTTAACTTGTAATATAACATTCTGTGGAAACCTTTCCATCAAATTGCCATAATGTGTATGTAAAAAAATGTTTTTTGAATATAGCTTTTGAGTTTATTTTTTAGGTCTGGGCATATAATGGCTAGTAAACATGTGTTGAAGATATCCAGTATTACTAAATTTTTAAGTAATGACATGAAAACTACTCTTAACTATTTAAACTACGACAAAATGAATATATTGATCCTTTTAAGAGATAAAATCACTAGAACTTAAAAAAGAATAAAACGTTAATTACTTAAAATATTTTTCAACTTCGTAAACAAATTCAACGATTTGTTGAATAATTTTGAAATAACCCCCATAAAAACAACAACAAAATATCTTGAAATAGAGTAAAAAATAATTAAAGTTTTAATCGAAAAATAACATAATCTTAAAACATGAACATTCATAGTTCTTAATCCTTTGATATTCTTACCTCACAAATTCAAGAACAACAAATAATACCAATCGCACAGAATAATTGTACATAACCGAAAGTCCTTATTTATTATTCAAACAATTCAAAACCAATATTTCCAACTCCTTTTGGGGCAAATACACAAATTAGAAATGTTTGGAAAGGTTTAAAATCTCCGCCCTTTGTGACGTCAGAGCTTAGGTTTTTTAGAGCATTAGTTTAACTTTCCGATAGGCATGAGTATGTAGTACATACGGATCCCAGTTCCACCCTTGTATTTGTAAATTTGAGGGAATGGTGGCTCGTGCTTTTATCTATTTGTCTGTTTTAGTAATGCTAATCCGTTTTCAAATTTGGTTATTTTAGGTCATGACCTTTTATGTAAGTTTTTATACTATTGTTGCTTCAAACGAAATTATACGAGTATATTGTAAATTTAACTTGTGTTCACATGTGTATTGCAATGATTATAAAAATGTAATTTTTTGGCAATCGTGCTCAATAATTCAGAAGATCCAGTATCACTTAGAAATATGATTATAGGTAATAATTCGAGTGATTAAAAATTTTTATAGGCGACATTGACATCGATAAAGTGGAGGCTATCCAGAAATGTGAATGGAATTCTGAGTTAGAACAAAACGCGATGTGGCGACGAAGATGACATTGAAAAGATACCTACAATATTTAATTTAAATTTTTAAGTTAATTACTAAAAATTAATTTATGTTAAAATTATTAAATTTGAAATTTAACTTAGTGGAGTTCGTAAATGGGTATCTTATTACAACGGAACTATTGAGATTTTTTACTTCTATAATGATTTCCTGTATAAACACATCTTTTAAAATAGCCCTATGTAGGTTTAAATAAATATATATTATTGTGCGAATATAGTATATATATATATATATATAATATATATATATATATATATATATATATATATATATATATATATATATAGTATTGTGCGAATTAATGGAATCATTGTGACATTGTTCAATATTTACAGTGACCAAGTATTGAAAACATAACCTTACTTTTTTCTGTCTTTTATTTGAGGGACTTTTAGAACATTTCTCACTAGGTTTGTTTTGTTTTGCACTATTTTGTGTGGTTTTCGGTAATTAGGGTTTATTTCGTTAAATTCCATCAATCCAGAGAGAAATCACAAGAACGTGTGGAGTGAGTCAGAAAGCAGTAAGCCAGATTTTGAAGCGTAAACGAGAAAGTGATCAATGATTGTGAAAGGGTTAGGAAAATGCGGAAGAAAGAGAAAACAACACCAGCAGATGAAATATTTGTACTTCGAAAGGGCAAATTGGAAACAAGAAAAACAAGCCAAGAACTCCAACAAGATTTAGCAGTATCAGGTGTAGTGATTCGTGACTTAACTGTTCACAAAATACTTTTGGAGAAAGGTAGAAGGGCAATGCGTCCACAGATAAAAATAGTTTCTAACTGAAGAGACAAAGGCTATTGTGGGCCGAAATATACTCTTATACTATAGACGACTAGGGAAAAGTCCTATTTACCGATGTAACTCACTTTATAGATCAGGGACAGCGGTCGAAATTCGACAGGAAGCCTGACGATGAAAACCTTACACCATCTCATGTTTAAAATGTTTTAGGGATATTTTCCGTACATGGAGTCGGATCTTTGGTACCAATCAAAGGCATGATGAACAGCCAAAAATACAAATCTATGTTGAAACGAAATGATTTAAGTTTACCTTTATAGTTTTGTCAAAATATAATATTTTTTCTAAATAAACTGTTTTTCATCAGACCTGACCGGCCTGACCAATTATGTGGAATCAAACTTTCAAAAGCAATCAAAAACAACCGCTGTCTTCATCGATTTATCTGCTGCTTATGACACTGTGTGGCGACAAGGGGCAATATATAAATTAATGCGAATAATCCCATGCAGAAAGACCACTTAGGTTATTAACGCCATACTATCCAACAGATGCTTTAAAGTTATATTGGGAGACAAGACTAGTACCCAAAGAAAACTGAATAATGGACTTCCACAAGGATCTGTGCTGGCTCCCATGCTTTCCAGCCTCTACATAGCAGACATGCCAGAAACCACATCAAAAAAGTTTGGATACGCAGACGACTGGACGCTTGCCGCAAGTCATAAAAAATTCGAGGTCACTGAATGCATTCTAACAAACGATTTAAATGCCCTATGAAATTATTTCCACAAATGGAGATTGCAACCCAATCCAACTAAGACAGAAGTGTCCTGCTTCCATTTGTACAACAAGATGGCCAACTATCAACCTCAAATCAATTTTGGAGATAGACTCCTTAAATATAATAAACACCCAAAATACTTAGGTGTTACACTTGACAGAACGCTGAACTTTAAAGAGCATCTTACTAAGACTGCTGCAAAACCCCGAACTCGTAACAACATCCTGCAAAAGCTCTGCGGTACTACATGGGGCTCCTCGGCACCCACACTTAGATCGATAGCATTAGGACTGGTATACCCCGTAGCGGAATACTGTGCACCAGTATGGATAAACAGTCCACATACTTACCGTGTTGATATCCAACTCAACCAAGCCATGCGAACTATATCGGGCACAATCAAGGTCACGCCCACTTACTGGTTACCAGATTTGAGTCTCAACACCCGCCTCTAAAAACAGCAAAAAGGCTAGTAGATCAAAACTTTAATGTAACTGAACAGTGGAGAGAACAATGGGAGAATAACGCTGCACCAGCTAACTGGAACATGCCATGTATTACAAGCAAACCTGAGGGCTTCAACCAACCGAGACGAATTTGGACCACGCTCAATAAAATAAGGACGAACTGTGGCAGATGTTCCGACTCACTTTTTGGATGGGGAAAAATACAATCACCAAATTGCGACTGCGGCGCCGAAAGGCAAACAGTAAAACACATGGTAGAGGAATGCCCGATTAGATCCTATAACGGCAACCCTTCAGATTTCCTGGCTGCTACAAAAGAGTCAATAGAATATATTTATAATCTAGATGTTTGTTTGTAGAATAATATTTTTGTATTTACTGTTGTTTGTAATTTACATAATTTATATTATATGTA